GAGAGAGAGAGAGAGAGAGAGAGAGATACTTTGTTTTTTAGTTTTCCCTGGACTCAACATCTTTGTTTGTATGTGGTGCTGAGGATCCAACCCTGGCGGCATGCATGCCAGGTGAGCGCGCTAAGGCTTGAGCCACATCCCCAGCCCTCAAACTGCTCTTGAGTTCTTCCTTGTCTGTCCACCCAGCTTGTTGCTTCTAGAGACCTTGTATCCTTTCCAACTGAGTAGCCTGCTTACCCTTTGGCATTTGACATTGACAGCTGCCTCCAGTGTTTTGCCCTTACACTAGTCTTCCTGAAACAGCGCCTTGTTCATGTTTCCTGCTCCCTCCCAGATTTACCACAAACACTTTGGTTTGTAAACCTTCCTTGGTGTTTCATTCCCCAGAAAGTTTAAACTCTTCAGCCTGTTTTTTAAAGTTCCCTAGACTAGCCCTGTCTAATAGAAGTAGAAAGCAAAAACTGCATATGTGAACCATGTATGTAACTTAAAATTTTTTAGTAGCCACGTTAGAAAAGTAAGAAGAAAGGGGTGAAGTTGGTTTTCATAGCACTTTTTTTCAATTATTTGAGTATATCCAAAATGTTATTTAAATATGTGATCATTAAAATTGTTACTGAGGTTCTTGACATTTTTTTTCACTTAAGTTTTTGAAATTTGGAGCATATTTTTCTCTCATATACATCTCAGTTCAGACTGACTACATTTCAGATGCTTTATAGGCAGATGTGGTCAGTGGCTCCTATGTTGAGTGGCATAGCTCTAAACCATGTCTTCAACACATGTTGAAGGACCAGACTGGTAATTCTAGCCCCTGGCCCCTTGGTAATTCCATTCCCCTCACCTAGAACTAGTATCCTTTTCCAAAATGCCGACCTTCCTTGCTAAGAAACTCAGGGAGACTCAACACCATCCCTAAACATCAGTTCTCACCACGTGCTCTTTTAATCTTTTAATATTTTTTTGGGGGGTGGATATCATTTCTCATATAGTAATTTCTTAGAAATTTTATGAGTTGGTATTATGAGAGGATAAGCACAGACACTAGCCAGTAAGAATGACTGATGAATTAGAACTAATGCCAGCCATGTACAGCCGAGTTCTCATCTGCCTATACCTGCTGAGTAACAGCTCTGCTTGTCCTGGACTGTGTATTGCCTTTCCCCTTAAGACTGAGTTTCCTGAAGACAGGCCTTTACCTTCCTTGTCTTTGTATCCTCCAAACTCCTCCTGACTTGGTCTGTAGTAGGCAGTTGGTAAATATTTTAAATAAATGAACAACTGCTACCTTGTATTTGTTTTATTCTTTTTATGTGTTATGTTTTAACTTTCCAGTTGGAAACTAAAATATATATAAGTCTTTTGAGGACAGAGATCATGAATTACAAAGAAGTATATGGCATATTTTCTTCATTATCTTCACAGAAGCATTTCTTCATCCTCTGAATGTAGATTTACTCCCTTCCACAAACCTTGACACAAAAAGCTATGGATAGTTAATCTATCTACTATTTATTTGTTTTAAAGAGAGAGAATTTTAATATTTTTTATTTTCTAGTTTTCGACGGACACAACATCTTTATTTGTATGTGGTGCTGAGGATTGAACCCAGCGTCGCGTGCATCCCAGGCGAGCATGCAACCGCTTGAGCCGCATCCCCAGCCCTGGACACAATATCTTTATTTTACATTCATGTGGTTCTGAGGATCGAACAGGGCCTCATGCCTGCCAGGCAAGCACTCCACCACTGAGCCACAATCCCAGCCCCTGGACAAATAACTTTATTTTACATTTGTGTGGTGCTGAGGATCAAACCCAGTGCCTCGTGCATGCTAGGCAAGCACTCTACCACCGAGCCACAACCCCAGCCCCTGTCTTTTTTTTTTTTTTTTTTTGGTCAGTGCTGGGGATGAAAACCAGGGCCTCCAGCTTGGTAGACAAATGCTCTGCCTCTTAAGATATACCCTCAGCTCCTGGATTTTTTTGAAAAATAACTATGTTTTGAGGTTGTTATAGGTTTTCGGGTTGAGTCAAAATGAAGTCTGACTTTAATGAGACTTTCTTTTGTGATTTGT